GAGTGCCTTGCAGCTGTATCCAAATGCTACATGAAGTGGACCGGATTTTGGGCTGCAGTAATGGGCCCAATTCTTTATTTGAATTGGGATCTTGACTGCCCAGTTATTTATTCTTATTTGGGCTGCTAACTTTGGCCATAATGAGTAATATACCCGATAGACACATGTATTCTAGGTCATTTGAGATTTTGCTTGGCTTTCTCTTTTTTTCGTCTTCAATTTTGTATCGCCTCTTTCTTGCCCAAGGGTTTCCGGTCCAACACCCCCTTCCCCCCAAGTTGGAGGGGTGAGAAAGCACACCCAACTTGGAGATGATTGAGCGGTGCAGAGGTCCAGAAAGAGGTTTTGTAAATACGCCTGCGAGTTGAGATATTGAAGGAACAAAAGATAAAGAGATTAAACCGACGAGGAACTGTTGGCGGACGAAGTGACAATCAATGTCTACATGCTTCGTCCGTTCGTGGAAGACCGGGTTCTTTGCTATGTGAAGAGTTGTCTGGCTATCGGAATGAAGAGAAACTGGCAAGGAAGGGGGAACTGAGAGATCTGTTAGAAGGCGTACAAGCCATGTGAGTTCTGCAACAACCTTCTTCATAGATTGGTACTCGGCTTCTGCAGAAGAAAGGGAGATAGAAGATTGTTTCTTTGATTTTCATGAAACAGAGGATCCTCCGAGGTTGATGCAAAATCCACTCACTGAGCGACGTGTCTCCGGACAGGATCCCCAATCAGAGTCGCAAAAAGCGAGCAATTGTAAAGAGTGGTCTGGATTCATAAAGAGGCCAAGCCCCGGCGAAGAGAGCAGATATCGGAGACAGTGTAGACCGACATCAAAATGAGGTTGACGCGGATTTTGCATATATTGGCTTAAATGCTGAACGGCGAAAGATAGGTCAGGATGAGTATGGGTTAAAAAATTGAGCTTGCCCACTAGTCGCCTGTAGATGGTTGGATCGTGAAGAGGCTTACCAACATCGGCACGAAGCTTGCAACTAGGGTCTAGTGGAGATGAAGCTGGACGTGAATGAAGGACACCAAACTCAGAAAGGTGGTCAAAGGTGAACTTTCTCTGACTGATAATTAGTCCCTGTTTTTCTCGTAATATTTCCATTCCGAGAAAATAATTTGCCTCTCCAAGATCTTTGACTTTGAATTCTAAATTGAGAAATGCCTTTAGATTAGAAAGTTCTGTAATATCATTACCCGTTAGAAGTATGTCATCTACATAAACAGCAACAATAGAAATGTCGGAAGCTGTCTTTTTGAAAAATAAGGAATAGTCGTTAATAGAGTGGGAATAACCTTTGAAATTGAGGGCATCAGTGAGTCTTGCATACCACTGGTGCGAAGCCTGTTTAAGTCCATATAAGGACTTTTTTAATCTGCAAACATGATTAACAGAGGGTGAAGTCATTCCTGGTGGAAATCTCATGTATACCTCTTCCTGTAAATCACCATGAAGAAAAGCGTTATTGACGTCTAATTGAAAAAGTTTCCAATTCATTTTGGCTGCAACTGCTAGAATACATCTAACAGTGGTCATTTTGACCTCGGGACTGAAAGTCTCATTGTAGTTGATTCCTTCCCTTTGTATGTCTCCACGTACAACTAGTCAAGCCTTGAACCTTTAAATACCGAAAACCCTTGGGCAAGAAAGAGGCGATACAAAATTGAAGATGGAGAAAAGAGAAAGCCGAGCAAAGTCTCAAATGACCTAGAATACATGTGTCTATCGGGTATATTACCTATTTGGGCCAAAGTTAGCAGCCCAAATAAGAATAAATAACTAGGCAGTCAAGAGCCCAATTCAAATAAAGAATTGGGCTCATTACTGCAGCCCAAAATCCGGTCCACTTCATGTAGCATTTGGATACAGCTGCAAGGCACTCAAACCTTCCAGAACTATCTTATCCAAATGTAAACTACAAAGAGTTATGGGCAAATACATGTGCTTATGGACAAATATATAGAAATTAAGCATTTCTAATTAAATATAGTTGTACATGTCCTCTATTATCTTCCAAATACTTATATAAATATACACATTGTACAGAAGATGAGCATCATAAATGAAAAGCAATTTTCTTGTTTCTCTACAGCGCGTCCAGAAAAATAGATTAGTAAACGCCTAAAGATGATCTAATGTCAAGAAGTTAAGTAAAAAATTTTCATCCGGTTCCGAAATTTGTTGAATAAAATAACAGTCGGTTGAGATATTTCGTATGTGATCCTTCAAAGCTGAGAAAAGTGCTTCAATCACCATCATAACATTCTATATCTAGTCAGGGAAGGCTTAACAATATTTGTAGACTAAAGCCAATGTTAAATAAGAGGCCCTAAACTTTATTTTTATTTTTATTTTTTAAAAACCATACACACATACGTGTGTGTATATATATATGAGATACAAAATTATTAATAACTTTTTATAATCGATCTCTCCTAAAAATGTTTTGGACAATATTATAATAGTTTTTAACTCTTTTATTTTAGTTTTGAACAACTTGATTCATATTTTTCGTGGCATATTTAAATTCTAATAAATGAATAAAAGACAATATATAACTATGAAGTAAGAATAAAATGAGATGATAATAACACTTGAAAGTTATAATAATAGAATTTAATTCAAGAAAAATGATGACTTGATNTGAATTTAATAATTCAAGAAAAATGATGACTTGATTTCAAGATATCTTTTTGCTCCTTCAATAACACAAAATGCTTGAAAATTCAGGAAAAAACAAAAAAGAATGCACGATATATGATATCAATAGTACTTTTAAGTTATGGGTTTTCAAATAATACTACTCCTACTAAGTTATCAGACTTAAACCCGAAAAAAGCAAGAAAGAGAATATATAAGAGTATAAAGTTATGCGAGCGATTAACTCTTGGACAAACCCAGAAAAAAAATGAATAGTGTAAAATATGATTTAGTACTATATATTTTCTGATGAAAAAAATGGGTAAAAAGTGAAATATAATAATTTCACTTGTTAGATTTTTTGTTCAAACAAAAAAAGGTTTGAAAGAAATTCACATTTATAAAAAGTATTACGCTCACTTCAATTAGTTACACATCTATTCTTTCCTTTTATAAAAAAAATATCTAATTTTCAAGGTAAAAACTACTCATTATTTTTCTAAAATAGCCTATAACCTATTTTGGTAT